TTCAACTACCCTGACATCTCATGGGAAGATCACTCGGCTAAATCTGAATGGTCACAAAGCTTCCGCATGTGCATGGATGAGTTCTATCTGACTCAAGAAGTCTATGGATCAACAAGAGGCAAAGTACTGCTCAACCTGGTACTGGCAAGGGGGGATGATTTAATCAGTGGCCTAATGATCAAAGGGAAGCTGGGAGACAGCAACCATGAGTTGATCATCTTAACCATCCTCCATAAAGCTGGCAAGTCAGTCAGCAAAGCAGAAGTCCTCAACTTCAGGAAAGCTGACTTTGACAAGCTCTGGAGGCTTGTTGGAGAGGCCCTAAGGGACCATGACCCGAAGGGGAGGGGAGTTCAGGAAGAGTGGTTGCTCATCAAGGGAGTGATCCTAGAAGCTGAAGCAATGTCTATCCCATCTTGGAGGAAAGGCAGAAAAAGGGCACAGCAGCCGGGAACTAGTAGACCTCCTGTATCTAAAAAGAAAGACCTATAAAAGATGGAAGACTGGATCCACCCCAAAGGAGGAGTACTCTGCTCTGGTCTGGACCTGTAGGGAGCAAATCAGGAAAGCCAAGGCAGCAACTGAACTCCAACTGGCTACACGTATCAAGGACAATAAAAAAGTCCTTTTTTAGATATGTGGGGAGCCAGAGGAAAAGCAAGGGTAACATTGGATCCCTGCTAAACCATATGGGTCAACTGACAACCAATGCCCAGGAAAAAACCTACCTGCTTAACGGGTATTTTGCATTGGTTTTTCACCCGTCCCAAGGGATGGCCCTGCTCAATACGGTACAGGGCAGCCAGGGCGAGGGAGAACTATTACCCTTCATCAATGCTAACCATGAGAAGGAACACTTCAAGAGGCTGGACACCTTCAAGTCAGCTGGCCCAGACAACTTGTACCCCAGGGTACTTAAAGAGCTGGCAAGCATCATAGCTCTGCCCATGGCATAGATCTTCAAGAACTTGTGGTACTCAGGCGAAGTGCCCAAAGACTGGAAGAAGGCCAATGTGGTGCCTATCTTCAGGAAAGGGAGGAAAGTAGATCCGGGGAACTACAGGCCCATCAGCCTGACCTCTATCCTGGGGAAAATGATGGAAAAAATCAAAGAGACCATTCTTGACAAACTGGCTGAAGGCAACTTCCTGAGGGATAGCCAGCATGGGTTTGTTGCAGATAGGTCTTGCCTAACTAATCTTATCTCCTTCTATGACCAGGTGACATATCACCTGGATAAGGAAGACGTCGTTGACTTTAATAAAGCTTTTGATCTGGTATCCCATGATCATCTCATAGAAAAACTGGCCAACTGCAGTCTCGACTACATCACAGTCCACTGGCTGGGGAATTGGCTCCAAGGTCGGACCCAGAGAGTGGTAATTGATGGAAGTCAAACATTGTGGTGTACCATGACCTGTAGGGTTCCCCAAGGCTTCGTCCTTGGGCCTTTTCTTTTCAACATCTTCATTAATTATGTGGACATCGATATCAGAAGCAGACTTGCCAAGTTCGCTGATGACACCAAACTTTGCGGTAAAGTGTCCACACCTGAGGACAGGATGGTGATCCAGGCCAACCTTGAGAGGCTCAGAAAATGGGCAGACAAAAACCTGATGGCCTTCAGCACTGAAAAATGCATGGTACTCCACCTTGGGAAGAAAAACCTGCAGCATTCTTATAGGCTCGGTGGTGCTACACTTGCTAGCACCACGGCCAAAAGGGACTTAGGGGTTATGATTGACCACAATATGAATATGAGCCACGAATGTGATGTTGCAGCCAGCAAAGCAAGAAAAATTCTGGCTTGCATCCATAGATGCTTCTCTAGCCAATCCCAGGATTCTAGCAAATCCCAGGATGTCATCCTCCCACTGTACTCGGCCTTGGTGAGGCCACAGCTGGTGTACTGCAACCAATTCTGGGCTCCACAATTTAAAAAGGATGTGGAGAAGCTTGAGAGAGTCCAGAGGAGAGCCACATGCATGATCAGAGGGCAGGAAAACAGCCTTATGATGAGAGGCTGAGAGCTATGGGACTCTTCAGCCTGGAGAAGCACAGGCTCAGGGGGGACCTAGTGACTGCCTATAAGTATATAAGGGGTGTACATCGGATCTGGGGGACCGCCTGTTCACCAGAGCGCCTCATGGGATGACAGGGTAAAATGGTCACAAACACCTCCAAGACAGTTTCAGGCTGGACATAAGGAAGAACTTTACTGTCCGAGCCCCCAAGGCCTGGAACAGACTGCTGCCAGAGGTGGTGCAAGCACCTGCTCTGGACTCCTTTAAGAGTCAATCGGATGTTTATCTTGCTGGGATCCTGTGACCCCAGCTGCCTTCCTGCCCCTGGGGCAGGGGGCTGGTCTCAATGATCTTCTGAGGTCCCTTCCAGCCATAATGTCTATGAAATCTATGAAATCATTCAACGAACTTTCATTAAGCACCCCAACCACCATTTTTAAGGATGGGAACGCTGATACATGAGACCCAGGAGGCTGCTAGAGTGTGGCAATTGCCACACTTCAGCAGACTCGATGAATTAAGTCCAGCACATTGGAGCAGCCTCCATGTTCATGTATAGGCACCGTTAGAGACTAAATGGTTCAGAGAGGCATGAGCTTTCATAAGCAACAACCTACTTTGTCAGATGGCAAACCGATTTAGAATGCTTTCAAAATATAAAACGAGAGATGGGTAGAAAATAGTGAGAATTGTTTTATACTGAGTTTTGAGGGAAAAGAAGGGGGAACATTAAGTAAATCACACGTAGAGAAGAAAAAACCCAGAAGATTTATATCAACTATGAAACATAAAGAGCTATTTTCAGACTGAAAAGAAGTGAGGAAAAGAACACAAGACTCTCTTTGCTGGATACTGACTTGAGTTAAAGGAGCGCCATTGATGGAAGATGGAAGACCTGTACCTTTACATATACCTTAGGACAGCGGTCAGCAGCCTTTTGCTGGTGCAGGCTGAAGCTTGCCACACATCTGTGACTGCAGGCTGGAAGCCTCTGCTACCTATTCACACTTGCTGCAGATACTCGACTCCTCTGCACAAAGAGAGGCACAGACCCCGTGGAGCAACAAGCTCTGCAGTGAAAAAGAGCACTAAGGAGGGCACGTATGGCACAGCGCAGCAGCTGCAGCCCTGTGTCAACAATCCCCCCGTGCCAGATCACCAAATCAGCCCTTCACATGTCAGATCAAATGACTTTGCAGGCTGGATCTGGCCTGAAGGCCATTAGTTTCTGACTCCTGCCTTAGGGAATTGGATGCATCTTAAATGCTAAATTAGTTATTGGATAAGTTGAGTTCATTAATAAATAATGTGGTGTTTTCTGTTTTGTTTTGTTTTTTAGCTGTGCTAATTTATGTGGGTTCTTGCACTGGAACAAAATGGGAGAAATCTCAGAGCCGCAATTTATACATGAATATGCTTTGCTTCTGCCAAATCTTATGTATGTAGACAGCCTGGCTCAAATAGTACCGCTAGCAATAATGATAAGCAAAATTTATATGCATCCAACCTGTCACCTCTGGCTTTACATAAGTATATTCAAGTCAGCTCTTAACCTTCTCTTGGATAAACCAAATAGACTGATTCTTAAGTATCTGACTATAAGGCAAATTTTCAAGACCACAAATCATTCTTGTAGCTCTTTTCTGAACTGTTCTCCTGTAATTTTTCAACAATGAAGTAGTGTCTGAAAATTCAAGTCTGCAAGCTTCCCAAATGAATTCTCTGCCACTTGAGTTCAAGGACTTGCTCCACTAATATAAGGCAATCAAGGAGGCTCTTTTCTATTTTACCCACCTCTCATAAAGGATACTATTCCATCTCAGTTTTCATTGCCACCTATAAAAGCTCTTCACACAGATCTTAGATCCTTGAAGGGATGCAGTGGAAGCCAATTTGTTGGAGGAGTAGTGGCAATGATAAAGGACAAAAGAATTGTTTCAAGGATCCCTCTCCATGCTCTGTAATGGAAAGTATACTGATTGCAGGAATAGAGCCCCATGGCACTTCTTTTAAGATCCTCTCCTTCTATATCCTCCACGTATATAGAAAAAAGTTATTTTCCATGTCATTTGTAACTAAGGGCTCAAATGGTAAATACTTAGCTAGGATCTCTCTCTCCCTCATAGATTAAATGAATCAATCTAGATTTACCAAGAGGACTGTATTCCACTCTCCTCTATCCAATTCCCCTTATAACTAAGACACGGTTTTAACAGCTATCTTTCCTAAAGATCACTTAAAAAGGAAGCTAGGACTACAAGTAATTATTAATTAACCACTAATATTCAAATCCTTCCACCTAAATCTCTTCTGGAGCCAGCCTTTCACTGAAAGGTAAAAAACTTTTCTCTCATACCTGTACTTTTCCTTTAAAAAAAATGGAGAAACCTTAGCAAAATGCTGTTATATACTCAGTCATTTAACCTTGATGGTAACTAAGCAACAAAAGACACGTTCTTATCTTATGACAGGGGGTAGGAATAGTTTCTTTTGATGTTTAGCTCAAAACTTGCCTGAAACAAGCCATAACAGCCTTTGTACCTGCATATAACAGAGATCTCTAAATGCACATAGGCATGACTAAAGTTTCATGCTTAGTTTACACGTATTTGGAAAAGAAACAAGTTGTCTTATTGTCCTGTCCAGATGTAAAACCAATATTGGGTATGATTTTCAAATAGGACATACAGTTTCTTACCAATCTTTGGAGCTGAGTGGAACAAAATACCAGGAAGTCAAGAAACTTGTCCAAGCTCAGAGTGAGTGAGAGATATTGAACCCAGGAACATCATATACTAATTGAATTGCTATTAGCATATATATGCTATTCACACAACTGACACCTAAACATGAACAAGTGAACACATGGCATGTCATTTTGAAAAAAACACTGGGTTCTATTTTCCTGGGACCTTCATATTCACTCAGCTTCCCTGAGAAAAAGGAATTCATTGATTCACTGCAACAAGTTATTACCTTGAATGCTTCTTTTGAAGAAAGCCTTACAGCCCTCGCAAGACCAAACTCCATAATGGTAGCCTGAAGCATAGTCATTGCACACAGCACAGTACCGGGTCTCCTTTGTGGATTCCATGGACAGGCTCGCTTTTTCACTGTTGCTGGACATCCTCTCCCTGCCACTCTGACGCCTGCTATCTGCACCTGGCCTGTAAAATTAATATTTGGCAAATTATTTGACATTAAAAGTCTTATCCCCTCCTGAAAACCAATCAAAGAGACCACAAGCAGCTCTACTTAACACAGTAAATCCTATTTCTAAGATAATATTTTATCACCTTCTTGCATTTTCTACTAAATATGTATAAGCATATATAAGTATGAAGTGTGTGTGTGTGTGTGTGTGTGTGTGTGTGTGTGTGTGTGTGGAGTGTTTCTGGGATCTCACTACCAAAGATGATTTTATCAGTAAATTGTACCTTGAAAAATCAGCTAGTCATTTTATAACATAACCTGAATGTTCTCAAGAAATTACAATGAATTCAAAACATCAATAGGTAGTTCAATGTACTGCTCAGTAGCGCCACAGCAGCAGTAATCAATGATGCAGCATTTTTGGTGCAGGGGAAGGTGAGGCAGAAGAAAGCAGGACAGGTGGCAGCCAGGACACCAAGCCCAGGCACTGGTTCAGAAGAGGTGTTAAAATGGCAGGTCCCAGGCAGCCTGTACACCAGTGCAGCTCATTTTGGGGAAGCTTGAGCTAAAGTGGCAGTAGCCCATGCTGCCCCTGCTGCAGCCCCTGCATGAGCAGGTAGGCACTCACTCTGCACCTCCTCCCCCAACATTGCCTAGCGTTGTCCATAATCTAAGGTTATGCATTTGTACAGCATAATTCCTGCAAGCATTAGCAGTCTGAAAATCCTAGGCAAAGAGCTAGAATGGCTGGGATATTCAGTATGTGTATCTTTGAGCCATTTAAAACAATCATGCCAGTTAAACAAAAAAAGACTTATCTCTTCTAAGAATCATTAAATTACAAAGTAAGGCCAGTGCTCTTTCTGAGGCCAGCAGTACTGCCTTCTTTTGAATTACACCCCATTCTCACTACCATGCCATTTTCAGGAGTTATAAACAGCTATTCAGAAGAAAAAAATCACTGAGTGTTGTTAAACAGCGAGGTTGAAGTTTTAAGAAAGAAAACATCTTATAGAACATGGTATAGGTGGCATTCTCAAATTTAAATGAGCAAAACCCTGTGGAAACTATATGAGGTATCTGAAGTATTTCCTTATGGCAAGATGTTCCTATTGATGAGAATGGCTGGGGATGCTTGTTCTTTCCCTTATTCCAAGCTTTCTGAGTTATGTTAAATATTTATTCTTACACATAAGCAGTTACCACAGGGTTAGTATATGATTACCAGTTGTTTTCTCTCACTGCAAGTTAGGTAGATCCCTAACTGTGGTACATTTGTTTTAATTTTTCAGCAGATAGCAGTTATCTCACTAGAGTCATATTGTCTTGTCCAAGTCAACTGCATTTCATTTGCATCTAAGAAACTGGACCTTTTTCTTCCAGTTTTCTTCTTTAGTGTGACATCATCATCTCCATGTCTCTAGTGATGCAGAATTCTTTGCATTTTGATGAACGGAAGTGTCTGGCCAATATGGCCCAATAGTTTTCTGTTGACCCCCATTCTCAACTGCTGTCATTTTTTTTATCTACCCAAGATTCCCTCGCATCTCCTGCTGCAGCCCCTCTCTGATTCTAAATTTGCATACCTGCCAAAACTGCTTGGAGATTTCATACACCATTTCCAAAGCTGCCATACTTACCTGCCAGAACTTCTTTCTAGCTTCTCTTCCCAAATTAAACTCATTGACATTTAGCTGCTTAGCATGGGTACCAGTTAACACAGAAATATAAGGCATTGCCCTACTATTCCATTCCAAGCACCTTAAAACTGCATTAGTGTCATCATTTAGGAAAACCACATTTCTGAGGTCCAGTGAAAACTTTGTATCTAGACCTATATTTCAGTAAATTTGTGACTCTTCTTTGAATATTTGTGTACCGTTTGCTAATGGCTCGTGGAAGTAGGTAAGCCTGTTGACATTCTGACTTGGTAGATCTCTGCCTCTTCAGAAAGTAGGGAAAAGACAAACCTCCTGACATCATAAGCATAAGAATAATATCCAAAGTAGGAAAAACAACAGGCTGCTTGCATAGTGCTGAATGCTATTCTTAACATTTAGAAAATGCCATATTTATTAGCATACCACCTACCTCCGAATACGATATGAACCTTATTCTGGAAAGACTGAATGAAGAAAAAAAGATTTTTCCAAAATTCTTACCTACCATAGCACCAGCTCACCCAGAGCTAAACCATCCAGCCAGGTGGAGCAGAGGCAGAATCCTGTCATCAGCATCATTCTCCCTCTCCCTGCTGCTTGGCCAACAGCTCCTGCAGCAGCGGTGAGAGGGTTAAACCTATACCTGTTGGACCTGCAGCTGGGGGAGGGGGTGTGATGCTGATGATGGGACTTTGCCTCTACCCCATGCAGCTCAGGCCTGAATGAGCCAGTGACAAGCACAGCTCTCTGCCTCCATTCCAGTGTAAAAATCAATTTCCGCACTTAAGACTTACACCCCAAGTTTAGATGGCTGGTTCTTGAGGAAAGTGTACATGTATGTGAATAAATCCAGCATGCATCTATCCACAAAGAACGTATGTTGCTTACGTAGTGTTGCACCTTCTTGCTCCTTGTCATCCTGCAGTTTTCACACCATGGCAAACCTATAAAACTGTATTATCCATCTTCATTTCTATGAATCTTCTCTTTGAAGTGGTTTTATCTTAAATTTTGCATTTTAATCATCCCTCTTCTACTGTACCATTTCAACTCTTCCACTTCGATGTTGTCTACAGTTGCAATAAGCAAAAGAAGCTAGGCAATGATCAAACCCACCCTTTCCTCCTTTCCACTGAAGTCTAAAAGCCAGATCATCCCTTTCTTTCTAACATGTGAAACTGCCAAGTCCATCAATGCCATCACCAGGTGGAGGAGAGAAAGAGCCACCCTCCTAACTTCAGGCTGAGACTCCTAACCCCTTACTGATTATTGCTCTGCAGGAAAGGATAGGACTTATATTGACAAAACCAGTTAGGGAATGGATCCTAGCAATAAAGAGGTTCATTAATAGGGACACACCATAAAGAACATTAATGACCTATCTTGCTCTGTTGCAACCAGATTTTCCTTTCTTGTCTCCCCTGCCCAGTAGTCTAAATAGAACTCAAAAAATGAATTGCTCCATAGGTTAAAGTGGGTGTAGCAGAGGTGCAGCTAATTATTTAGCTGGTCAGAGCACTGCTGGAGGGGAAAAGGTATTGCACAGGCTCACCACACTCCTGCTGCTGTGGCATGGGTTCAGACTGCTGTTGCTGAAGAACAAACTCCATGCTGGTGCCCTTTTCACCTACCCCAACAAGCATAACGAGACATTTGAGAAATATGAATTGAAATGTAAACCCCACAACAACTAACCAACAAACAAAAAAACACAAACATTAATCATAATCTAACAATGCAACCTATAGAAATTTTCCTCAGGAACACTTTGTGTTGGCGGAGCCAAGGCTGGGGATTTTGACTGGGGGATGTCAGTGCTCCTGCTGGGACTTAAACTCAGAGGTTCCTGGGGGTTGCCCCTCCACTCATGGTCAGACTGATCAGCATATTTGGGGTCAGGAAGGAATTTTACCCTAGAGTCAGACCAGTGTGGACATTGGGGGGTTTTGCCTTCAAGTGTTTTTTAACCATCATTATAGAACCAGGATGCTGGCAGCCGTGGTCCTCTGCTTCACCTGTGACAGATCAGTGTTATGTCTTGTGGTTGTTTCAGGATTGACTGTGTAGTTTTGCTAGTAGATTAAGCAAAGGGTTTATATAGGATGGTTTGGAAAAGGATGATCCCACTTCAGGCAGGGGGATGGACTAGATTGACCTCTGGAGGTCCCTTCCAGCCCTACTTACCTATGATTCTATGATACATTATATTAGGTTAACAGGACCATACGTTTATCTCAAACTGTGATTAGAATTGTCCAGAAAACAATATTCTACTTGCAAATAAAATTTAGAGATGCTAGAAATTGTTTTTATTCCTTACTAGATGAAATGAAAGCTTTTTGAAATTTAGGCTGAGAGAGAGACTGACCACATACAATTTTAATAAAATCATTATAAAAACTTATTAGACGCATGAAAAAGTTACAAATTCAAAAACCATTACCCATCTGCCATAATACAAAGCACATATCCAATGGCCTATCACCTAATAAATCTATCCAAGTCTCATAGAAAAGTAAACTATCTGTACTCCCAACTAAGATGAAAACCACTTAAAACTAAAAACAGGGAACTTTAATAATCCCAGAGCAGCTAATTTACATTGTTTTGAGGGTTGTATTTTTAAAAACCAACAGACACAGGATGGGGGAAGAGAGTGTTTTGGGGGAGAACCAAGAGATAATGGCTGAAACACGCCTGAAGGAAAACAGATGGCGCTAGAAGAGCCACTAAAAGCACTATAAAAGACCAGCTCCTCTGAATCCCAAAAGAGCCACAACGCAGTCACTTCTAGAGTAAAAAGATGCACACACACATGTAGCAATAGCTCCATGAAGTACTTTTCAATGGATACCACCATTTTCTTCACCATTGGAGACATATTATATAAATCTAGCATGCTGCATAGATCCTCTACCAAAAACTTGTATTCTCCATACCAAGTCAAAAGAAGCAGCAAACATAGGGGAATGGCCTACTTTAAGGACATGCCTAGAGAATAAATTATGGCTTAAGCCACCAAAAGTAAATTCAGTAAAAAAAACAAACAAACAAACAAACAAACAGAACCTGGGAAAAAACCCACATGCAACTCATGCCAACTACCTGGCCTATTAACACCACAATCCAGAATCAGAGCAGTAAGCAAGAAAAAAATCATTCCTGTGGTCTGTTATATAGAATTGCCAACTCTCATGATTTTTGGCGCTGTTTTTAAAGTCTACGCTTTGGGACTGTGAAAAACTTAGCTCTTTCTTTTATATATACTTATATATATATATATATATATATATATATATATAAATAAAAGAAAGAGCTAAGTTTTTCACAGTCCCAAAGCGTAGACTTTAAGA